CCCTTTACTGGCTGAATCCAGCACAGAGGCTAATGGGAATTGCATCTATTGACTCTAGTACTGGGAAAGGCACTGTTCAAAGGCCAGTGGAACACCAGTGACTTCAGGCAGCGGGATGCTACTGCTACAGAGGAGATTAGAGAGGTATCAGAATATCCCTCTTTACTGAATGGATATGCACTAGCAGGTGGAGAAACCCACCCATGCTGCAGATGAGAAATGCCATGATGTTACAAACAGACCAGAGCTTTGGATCCCTTAGTGACCGAGGACTACGGTTTTGGTTTTATTTATTCCCTTTTAATACAGAAAAAAAATATTTTAAACTAAAAAATGTAAAACTAACATTAAACTCCAAGGGCAGTACAAGAACAAGGGGAGTCCTCTTATACTTGCTCAGTGTACTTGGGTTTTTTTTCTTTTTGACCTGGACAGGGAATGGCAAGATGTCATCTTGAAACATACCTACTTCTAGAACCGTCATTTACTTTTAGCCGTGGGATACACCCACTGGGATTTGTCACTGTATATTGTCTTTTCTGTGAGTAATGAACAAAGACTTCCGACTGATAGCAGATATGTTTCCCTAAAAAGCAAAATGGCTCTAAGTTCCTGACCTCTCTTTGGAACAGACCATATTGTAAACTGCTACTTCAGCCATTTAGTAAAACCCCATTTTGATTTCTTATTCTCTATCCAGGACTTTATTTATTGTGGTGACAGAACTCCATAAAACTTTCCTAATATATACTTGAGGTAAAGATTAGAGAGACTAAAAACCAGTTTTGTAATGCATATATATTTTCAAATACACGTAACTCTCATGCCGTTATTGCTGATCCCCATTATTCTAACTGAACACTTTCAAAAAACCACAATAAATTCTGTGTGTCTTTACCCACACATACCAGGACAGGATCTACAGTGCTAAGGGCACTACAGTGGTCATGCCTTGCTTAGCAGGTGCAAAAATCTTCAAAAAATTCCAGAAAATGTGATGCCTTTTTGCTGACATACTGATGAACTGATGTCACAGCCATTAATAGATCAGAAGAAAGTGAAAATGTTTTTGTCTCAGTGTTGTTGCTGTCAGTTGTTTCTGACATGGATATGAGTTCTCTGTCCCATAATGTAAAGTTTCTTAATTGGTCACATGCAAAATGGAGTACTTATAACTTCTTCCAGTATGTGGCTACAGGTTCATAAAGCATGATGAATCACTGCTCTGTCCTGAAATAAGGATTATTATATTTCTGTACTGCAGTCTGAAGAAACCAAAAATGTCAGAACCTAATGACAGCTTTGCTGCCTGAGACAGTCAAATGTATCCTGTGGTCTCAGCATGAGATCTCATTTGCCTAAAGTCAGAAGCATTTAGAATAATCTAATGAGCTCAGAACTGTGCGAATTTATCAGAACAGGCAAAAAAAAGTACTCCAAATAAAACCAGTTTGAAGACTGCAGACTTCAAGATGGTTCTGTGTTCTGGATGACTGGTCTTTTTTCCCCAGCTGCTGATCTAGCAGACATTATCTCTCCTCCCAAGTAGTGCCCCACAAAGTAAGTAATTTTTGACTTAATGATTCCTTCCAACAGGCCTGATTCTTTATATAGAGCAGAAAGAGGAGGAGATGGAATGGGTTGCTCCTTCCCATCCCTTGCTAACTCTAGTTTGGTTTGGTCTCAGGATCTGGTCAAATTACTGAAATGAAATACAAAGCTGTCTGTTAATGGAAAACACCCACAGATTTTATGTTTTCCACTGACTGGATTTGGGGGAGGAAGGGGAAAGAAGGTGAAAGAAGGAAAGGGGAAAGAAGGAAATTATTTCGATTTGTTTCTCAAAAGTAAATCCTGGTTTGTACTAGGCAGCAGAAACATATTTATATACCTTTACAGCCAGTATCCTCTGCTCCAGGGTTTCTATTGTGTTATCCTCAGGCATGTGAGCGTCCAAGAGCTGAGTGCACTGCTCTGCGCACTGTTGTAACTCGGCTGCTTTCTCAGCGCATAAAGTATTGTACGGCTCCCAGAGCTGTTGGATGGCTTGCATTGCCCGCAGTTGATCTGCGATGGCTTCGTTTACTGAGTTCCACCTGCCAACATATCAAAGGGTAAGAGCATTTTTCTAGTAGATTGTCCTCCAGAACAGGATCGGGTGTAAGATTCCTGTGGGAGTTTCTCTGCATTCATACCCACGTTACTGAAAGCTTGCTGACACTGCACCAGAATTCTGTGCTCTGTGATCCATCACAAAAAAAAGGTACTGTGAGCTACTCCTCACACAGGTACCCTTAAGACAGGCGAGTCATATAAATACAGATTTAAAAATCACATCCTACCTCAGCAACTTTTTCTTTTAATTACTAACAACTGGGGGTCTTTTCTGCAAGCCTACCTAGCGTGTGCCTCCATGCACTTCTGTTCAATAACCTCTGCAAAGGACGGGGAGCAGTTCTTCAGGTTATTGGCAGCAGCTTGGAGCTTGCCCCAGCATTCTTCGCTGTTCTCTGATTCATCTTGAAGAGACTGCAAAATGGATTAGTGCCATTAGATGTGGAGATGAACAAGCTAAGTCTAGCTTTCCCTATAAATTGACAGGGATAGGGTATCAATAATGCCACATGTTTGCAGCACAGATTAAAATGTTTGTGTAAGATATAACACCTGATCCTAAAAATTAGGAAGCTAAAACAGAGGTGAAATTGTCAAATGTAAAAAATCCTTCAGAAGGCCTGTTTTAAACAGAGGTCATTTACTTGCTTCTAAAGAAACACCTCCTTTAACAAACCCACAGCCTTGAAACGATTACATTAATTCACTAGAATCCAAAAATGTTTTTATTTTCAGCCACAAATGGCTCAGGGAAATTTCTACTGGCAGTGAATTTGGCTTGACAAATGCTGTCCCCAGCTGTATGTTCCCCCTCCTGATACAGGTGATTGTAGAACCCTGTCATGGGTTGTACTGGCAAACTGATCCAGATTAAAAATAGAGGCTGGTGGAAGGGAAGGAGGTAAGAAGGTGCCCAGTTCCTTCCATCATTAGGTGTCCCCAGGGGAGGGTGGAAAGCAGTCTTTACTGCCAAGAGACACGTACCCGGGATTCACAGCCTCAGTGTGGCCTGTCCCACTTCTGATATAACTTGAAAATAAACCAAAACAGGCCTTATTTACACTGAAACAGGGAGTAATCACACATCCTTCCAACACTCGTTTAATGCCAGGTAAGGGGATTTTAGCCATATCAGTGAAGCGTTCAGGCCTAAGGCCAGCCTGCCTGCCTACTCTAGGTACCCCACTTGAACTCTGCACTAGCCAAGCAGGGCAGCAGGACGACCCAAAGTGGTTATGCCCAGCCTCATGCCAAGGCTCCACAGGAAACTCCAGCTCTCTGGAGGGCGAATGAACAGTTGACTTCGCGCTGGAGGAATTGGAAATGCCAGGCTTGGGGATGCCCTTGCTCTGCCCTGGGCCTGCTGCACCCATCCAACCCAAGTCACAGCTTTAGGGGAGTGGGATCCTGTGTCCTGGACCTTGACTCCAGTGCTGTTTATAAGTGCAAAGATGCTTTAAGGCAAATAACGCCTTAATGCAAAATGTGTCACTGGCACAGTGGCTAGGACACAGTGCCCCAAGGGGAGCCTTCCAATCGCAGATCTAGAGACATGGTGGTCCCTTTGCCAATTTTCTCCCAGGTCCCCTTCATTTCTGCACTGACTCCCAGTACAGGCCTCTCCTTCCAGGTTATGCTACAGCCTCATGGCAGGGCATTTCCCTGGGAAGCACAAGCAAAGGGGCAAATTTCCTTTCGACCAATGTGCTGAGAGCCATCATCTTTCACCTGAAGGGTGAATAACCTTTAGGCAGATACATTCAGGCAAACTTCCTGCTGTCCATGTGGATTAGACACAGACTGAGTAGACATTAGCACAAGAGATGGTGGTGGAGTGCACATTCCATCTGAACTCTAGGGCAAAGGAGCATGAGGACCTGGTGCTTCATATGGGGATGCCTTCTAGCACGTGCAGGACTAAAATGTCAAGGGATCTTTGCAATCCAAATAGAGGCTCAGCTAGCCCACAGTAAAGCTGAACTTCTGTGCTAAATAAAGTACAAAGTCTAAAAACAGTCCTCAGTGCCCAAGCCCACTGACTTCAACGGCACTACAAGTTGCTCAGATAAATTTTTCTGCCTTTTTTCAGTGGAGTTTCTTTGTTTCAAGGCACAGAAGGAAGTACAGAAATAAGTCAACTTCAGTAGATTTACCTGAAGAGTTTTGACCTGTTCTTTCAAGGTTTCCAGTGACACCACAGCAGGTTTGCACTGGTCTAAGCAGTACAAATATCTTGTTGTCATCAGGCTGACTTCTCCATAAACTTCATCATATACTCTCCACTGCTCCAGTATTGACTGCATTGAGGTCTTTAACTGTGCAACCTGCAAACAAATGGCTTTTGTTATTTTCCTTACAAATATATCACCTTTATTTTGACTTAAAATCTAAGCTCGATGCTCACTCCATGGCAATCCACAAGAACTTCACAAATTAGAGTATTTCCCTACTTGGTAATGAATTGTGCAGGCTTCAAACCAAGCAGTAAGCAGTATTTAGAGTGAAGTATAACAATTTGCTGGAAATAAAAGTGTAACCAGAGTTCAAGGTAGCACTACTCTATCAGCCACAATGCCAAAACCCCCCAAAAAATAAAAAGTACTGAAATAATGAACTGCTTATTCTTTCCTGCCAAAAATCAACCTGAAGTGGGAGGAAGTTGAGAGCCTTGATCGTCTCAGGAAGCAGATCCTTTTAATGAAAATAACAACATAAGTTGTTTTGAAGAAGATGCTACTACAATACTCTGGAGAACTACCACCCCTCCTATGCCACTGTGCTCTAATAATGCAGGCCCACCTGAATCGCAGACTAGGAATTTCAGGATTCTCATATAAAATTAAATGATGGATGTCCTCTCTGTTTTTTGGGTCTCTTTCACTATTACAGTTGTTTAATCTGTACTGGGGCAAACATGGTTTTCATGTGCCACATACTGCTAAGCATTGTGAACACAAACCCACAGTCCTCCTTCAGTGTGATTTGTCATTTTTATCCTTCTGTGTCAGATAAGTACATAAGGCATGCCCTGGGTTAGCCAAAACACTCATCTAGTTCAGTACATTTTTTCAGTCATGCCAGTAACCAGATGCTTTGAGAAGAGGATGAAAACCAGGCAAGCAAATAAGCCTGTCTCCATGGGACCTTGCAAAGGCAGACACCCTATTTCAGTTATGACTGTGTACCCACACAATGGAAGATGAAGATTTCCTACAAGGTAGTGCACGCTAAAGAGACTGCATGGATCACTGTATCCTAGTATCCTAGTTCCAGGCATGCAGGAGTAGATGGATTAATCATCCCTATTCTCTTCTGAATCATGGTAGAGGTGGGAGTAATCTCTATTTGCTTTTTGTAGCTTGCAGCTAATTACTGCCCACGCAAGGAAGATGGAAAGACCCCATGCTAGTGAAAAGTCTCTGGGCCACAGACTCACAGTCTTGAAATCAACCTACAGACAACACACAATCAAGGTATCACATCTCCTGACACCTATATTTGAAATCACTGCCTGGCTCTGCTGAGAGCAGTCACCTGTGGGAAGAAAGCTGCCTTCGGTGTTTCAGTGCACATGCAGACAACTAGGCTGTAAGAATATTCTGCAGTTTTTAAGTTCGATACGTAAGTCATAAAAACCCTAAAATTAATGTGACCCACAGTGACTGTAAGAAGAAAAAAAAGCACTAGGTTGTCAATCCTGCCAATTTCAATCCCCAGCTCTACAGCAGAAGGAAAAACCTTCATCATGTACACACACAAAAATTTCTCTGCTTTCTTGGTAAGAAACAACCACATCATTTCTGTTGACAGCAAAACCAAGAAGCAGCAGACCCATCCTGGACCGACACCTGATGTGGAAAGGTTCAAGTTTTACAAAGTTTTGAGGAATCTTAACTATAAACACAATCACTGCATCACACAGAATCCTCTACAGTATATGGTTATTTATTATCACAAATTTAAATCCACAACTGTACTCATATCATCTGCTCCTATCAATTACAGCTAGGTAAAAATGATCAGTTACAAGTATAATCTAACTATAAATGCAAACTTCTGGGGAGTCCATTTGCATGGGATACCAATCTGCCATGCTCTCCTTGAAGCAATTGGAAACTACATAGGATCTGAAGATAGAGAAAGCCATCCGGGTGTGCAGACAAAAGAGTAATGGGGAGATGGAAAAGCTACAGTGAGAATGGGGCAGGAGTAGGCAGCTTCCACCAGCCTACTACAGGGGAGAAAGACCTGGGTATAAGAGAGAAGCAGATCGAGTCTAAGGTTTTCATTTTAAACTGGACAGAAAAGTAGCAATACTATTTCTTCATTTTCTTAAACTACGGGTGGGGGTCTGTTCCTTCTCCCCCTGTATTCAAACTACTTCGAGATCAGACTTCTTTTTCCCCTCACTCAACCTTGGAAATACACTGATTTGCATTAAGGTAAAGACTTCCAAGGGAGTTCATAGGGAAGTTAAGATTAAGGAATACTTTGCATCCTTTCTGTACCAGCTCCTGCCATCCCATGAAGAAGATAAATAACACTGGTGGTAAGAATAGGTACTGGAGGAAATGTGAATGCAAACAAAGCTTTCACCTGGCTTACAGTGCTGTCCATCATTTCACACAGCTCAGCTATGTTGACAGACAGAGCTTCTGGGGTTTGTTCTGCACTGCCATTCGAAGCCAAACTGTGTTTGAGCTCGTCAAGAATTTTGGATTTAGTTGTGAGCTGATCTTCTAGCTCCTAAATAAAGAAAGGAAAAAAACAAAAGGAAGAGAAATAGTATTTTTTAATGAGACCATAGAAAAAGCCTTCTGTGTGAGGAGCTTAAACATTCCTTCTTTAAAGGCAATTATGTGTAATTCTTCAGCCATGCAACACCACCACCATTTCAACTCTGATACAAAACAACTGCTTTACAGGAATTCAAAATGACAGTGGCTGCTTTAGACAGTTTCCTGCAGGTTGAGCTACAATCAGTCCATTTAGGATTAGGAAGGAAACCATGAGGAGCTAATTCCTCAGCCACCACGCAGGCCTCTTTGTACCTCTCCAGATGCAAGAAGCTCCTCTATTAATGCAGCTGAACTTTTCCTTGGGCAGATTAGCATTTGAGTCCTCCTCCACTCCAGCAGACAAACGTAAGATAGGAACTGACTTTGCAATATGGGGGTCCCTAACAACCTCTAGAAAGTTATTTTCAGCTTGTCCTGTCAGTCAGAGGCTTTCTCCCATAGGAGAAGCCCCACTGACATCAGTGGAGACTAACTTCTCCGCTAACACAATCAAAAAGATGATAAGCTAGTTCTGACATGCTGGGAAAAGCTCAGCAGTGAGTAGATATCCAACCACACAATGGGCCGTAACATTTTCTTAGAATACTACTCTTAAAGCCATGACCTTTTTACCCCTCACTTACTGTCCCTAAAACATTTTACAATTTGGACCTCAATTTACTGAGCAAATTAATTTTAATGAAACATTCTAGCCACCTGCATCCTAGCACTGTACCTTGCTGTGAGCAGGTTAGCGTTTTAGACAAAGATATCCCATGTCTTTCATCCATTCTGGCCCTCGATAGGTTTCAGAGTGCTTCAGAGAGGCAAGTAACTGCCTGTGTAACACAGCACTCTAGGCAATGTAAGCAGCCTACTACACATGTAACCATGGCAATGAAAGAACAAATATTCCATGTTTAAAAATAGAGAGGGAAGACTGTACTGAATGAAAACAGTAGACACTCAGAGTAATAGGAGCCAATTATTAGCTGGCTGCACCTGTACTAATTTTGAGGGAACTGATGCCTAGAAAAACACAACAAAACCAAAGTGCACCCAGATTCTTGAGGCTGGTGCAGAGAGACTCCGTTCTAGGGCAGGAGCAGAAAGAATTGCTATTTTTTCAAATGGGTCTGTGTAGTTTCCATGACACTGCCACCACAGAGCTCTTCAAACTAATAGAATAGGTAGCTTTTGCCATGGATGGGCTCACGTGAGAACTACATCTTTTGGAGGCATCTCAGAATAAAATGCACAACATTACTGCACAATACTCCAAACACCATGGAACAACTGCAGGTGCATCTTCAGTTGAAGGAGAAAACCATAAAATAGCAATTCACATTAAAACTAGATCTGCTCTTTATCACCTGAATCTACTATGCTTTAATTGAAATTGCATTGTAGTCATCATCTAAGAAATGGCAACTTTCTTAACTTTTCTTCTTCTGTTAAAATCTGGGTAATTCTTTAGTCTGGATTCAGCAAAGTGATAAAAATGAGGTTTTTGCAATAATACCACACATCATGCCTTACCTTGCAATCATCTAATGTGTTCTGGGCAGAGATCAGACTTGCTGGGGTTTGTAAACATCTCAGTCGATCACGCTGAGCTTCCAGCCAGTTGCGTAGAGTCTGTGCTTTGTTCTCGTTTTTGGTAATATCCTCCAAAATGTGTTGCAGGTCTTGTATCTGGAAGTTAAAAAACTCTTTTAACTTCCTTAAACCTAGAGGTGGGCAGAAACAGGGCTCCCCTCCCATGATAAAATTTGAGATTACAATATTTACACTGATAATACAAGTTAGAGAAAATTTTGAAAGGAAGAGCTAAAGATCTACTAGCTCTTTAGGACCCAGTAAAAACATAGGAATCTGACCTATACCCTGAGCAGAAAACAAGGCAGTGTGGGTTCTAGAGCTGGCAGCCTGCAGGGACACTGGGCTATGAGGACGCATTCATATGGAGTCTGAAATTCTCCTAAACCTCACCACCACAGTTACTAATAAGCAAGGGACGTTAAGTCTTTTATCTTCAGCCTTGGCCCTGAGGATCCATTAAATCTCAGAATACAGTTTCTGCATGCATGGATTATTTCCAGCCTCACTAGAATAAAGTAACTCTGAGGCACCGCGTGATACAGGTTTTCTACAGAGAAATACAGATGTGCTGGTATAGTTAGTCTCTGTGTAGGATTTGTCTGTCAGCTGCTGATCTTCAAAGCACTCCATTGAGAAAGCATATTTAATTACTGCAGAAGGAGGAAACATACACAGAGTAACCCATTTCCAGTGACCGAGGAGGGCTGGAGCAGGGCTGGGAAATGATCCCTTGCTATGCCTTTTCCAGCATGGTCATATGACCCGATCTGAATACGGCTGTCAACACTGCTTACTTAATAATGAATGCTTCAACAGGAAAATGGGTGGTAGCTTAATATATCCCTGTTTCTCATTCTCATCATATGGCATGTGGAGGGGTTGTTCGCTTTTTTGATGCAGTGTTTGCTCAGCAGGGTTCGGCTGTTTGTAGCAAGCAGTGCAGCACCTTTCCTTGCCACAAACCATCCAGTTTTCTCCCATTAAGTTTTAAATCATAGAATTATAGAATGGTTTGGGTTGGAAGGGACCTTAAAGATCATCTAGTTCCAACCCCCCCGCCATGGGCAGGGACACCTTCCACTAGACCAGGTTGCTCAAAGCCTTATCCAGCCTGGCCTTGAACGCTTCCAGGGATAGGGCATCCACAGCATCTCTGGGCAACCTGTTCCAGTGCCTCACCACCCTCTCCGCGAAGAACTTCTTCCTGATATCTGATGTAAACCTCCCCACTTTCAATTTAAACCCGTTACCCCTTGTCCTGTCACTACAGGCCCTTGTAAAAAGACCCCCCAGCTTCCTTGTAGGCCCCCTTCAGGTACAGGAAGGTGCTATAAGGTCTCCTGAGAGCCTTCTCCCAACTTTCACATCACTGCAAAGCTTCAACCGATTTCACTAACAGGTTCCCCTGCAGACATTACCCTCAAGTCTTCCTTTTTCGTAGTGTTCTCAATATAGGTCATCTTTTTGACGTCACTGACTGCATTTTCTTCCTATGAGGAACCTTTTTTTTTCCCCCACTTAATACAGTCAACTAGGGTAAATCCCAGGCTGCCACGAAAAGCAGATTTTTTCTGTTTTCCCTCCTTGCAAGTTACAGGAGAGTTCACCATCCCAGGCCTTGTTGAGGTTTGGATGCCTGCCCACCACCTGATAACTGATGCGCTATGAGACCATTCCACAGGCTGCCCATGAGACTGCAGGACGGACAGACAGCAGAGAGCACAGGGAGTCTCAGTGTGTTCAACAGTCTTTTCAGACTCCATGAGAAAGGCTGCTGGCAAAATACAGAGCACTGGCACAGGCAAGATCAGAGGTGTTAGAGAGGAAGCAGTGAGAACTCAATCAAACCTTTCTGGTCAGAGACGCCTGCAGCCTGTGCCACCGCAGGTTCACCTCTCCAAGACACTCGGCAAATTCTGTCTTCTCATACCGCTTGCTTTCTACATCACAAGTGCTCATCTGCAAGAGTGACTGGTTAACAAATTCTACAGTCCACTGTTTAATGTTCATTTCCATCATATATTCCTGGAAGGAAAGAAGAACAAAACCAGAAAACAATTAGTTTGGCAGTTTTAATCTGATCAGTTCCAGTGATGCTTCAAGGCATAGTTATGGGACATTCACGGCTTATTCTGAACCATAGCCTAAAATATTTTTCTGAAAGACACCTGGCTGTAGTAATAATTGCCAGTTTTTATCATTCTACATCTGAGTTGCTACTTTCATCCATGGAAACTTTTGCAGAAAATCACCATCATTACATGGGTAGCTCAAGGTAAGAACAGGCTAGTGCCAGAGAAGCGAACAAAACCTAGGGGTACCATACCCAGTACTTCATCCACTGGACAATACCATCAGTGCCATGGACCCAGCTTAGGCTAAGATGGAGGCCTTCTCACACTCCTGTGACCCACAGTCAAGTGAAGACAAGAGCTTGTGCTCCTTTGTCAAAATATGTGGTGTCAGATTGCAGTATCAGAATATCTGTGAGGAAAGTGTCCTTGGAAGCAAAAGGTTTTTATAAAGGAAAATGCTAAGGCACCTTTGAGACTGAGGAACCCTCCTGAGAGCCAGGGGAAGGATATGACAGTGCCTGTAGGCCACTTCCATCCTTGTTTCAGCCAAACACCTTGCAGAAGGCCTGGACTTACAGCTTCATATTTACCTTGGACTTCTGAAGAAGGCTTCTGACTTGGGCAGCACTAAGTTGTGCATTTATTGGCTCCTCATGTTCCTGCTGTTGTTCCACATGGTCCAGCCAGGTCATTAGTTCAGCAATAGCTTCCCGCGACGAAAGTTTCTCCATCTGAAGCTAGGGGTAAAACATATAATTAATCCTCTACACCCTGCTTGTTAGAAATACCAGGGAAGATGACATCTGTATTTTTAGAAAGGCTCAGGCACTATAATGGCAATTATCGGCCTATGAACTTAAAAGTGACCCCTGTGCTCCAAAGGGGCATATGACTTAATTTAAGAAATGTTTGAGAATTCAGAAATTTGTAATATAATTCTTTCTAATTGTAACAGACTTTCATATGAAACACACAAAGATGATAGATATGTGCAAAGCAGCCCAGGAAGAACACTGCAATAATTAAACTGCACTACAATATTGGGGATATTCTGAAAGCAAGACAGACAGCTAATTAGGAAAGATGCTTTGCAGGTCTTACGCAGCAACTGCCTGAATCCCAGGAGCAACATCTTAAAGTAATTATGTAGCTTGAACTGAGAGATGGCAGCAGAGTTTCTCCTCACCTGGTAAAGCTCTTCTTGGATGACTGGGAGCTGTTGAATCAATTCTCCCCATTTCTGCTCAAATTTGGCCAAAGATGACCTCAGTGCTGCAGTATCAGCTTGCTTCACATGAAAAAGCTGGTTGGCCGTGCTCACCACAGATGACTTGAGGGAAGATTTTTCATCAACTTCCTTAGAGAATGCCTGAGGTGCATGAAAGAAATTTAAAGGAGGGTAAATATTTATGTATCTGTTTAAATAAAGATGACAAACCAGGTTTTCAGTCACAGGATTAACTGCCTCAACAAACAGATTTTAGCAAGCTTGTAAAGTTCAGAAAACCTAAATCCAGTATGTTCCAGCAGCAGGTAAGGCTTTTTTCTGCCCAGCTTGATACAATGCTAAATGCTTCCTTTTGCTCCACAGGGATTGAGAATATCCTGATACCCACTTCAAACAGAGGCCCAGGGAGCACCCCACTCCTTGAGTCCCTGACCAGCTCACACCTACCAGTCCGACCTTCATGACGCTTTGCTTTCCCACCGTGCAAGACTCCCTCTGTCACGCCTCACGCTGGGGCTGAACCTCCTGGCTAGTCACTCAAGGAGAGCACAGCACTGGGGCGCAGGCAAAGACATAAAATGCAACTCAGCATGTTTCTCATCCCTGACTTTGGTTCACCATCTTCACAGCCCGGCTGTCTTACCCTCTGCTCCCTGAGCCCACATTCCAGATTCAGTTGGTATGTGGCCCATCAGCTCTGCTAAACTGCCGTATCTGGTATTTGGCATCAAAAACAAGACAGAAACCACGCTCTTAGACTGTAGGTGCCTAAGAGAGCCCGGCTGGGGTGTGAGGGGTCGTAGTCAGGAGCTCATGACAAGAGGATTCCGTTCCGATTTATGCATCCTGGCTGGAGCCTCCCATCCTCACAGCTCCCCGCACAGAGAATGGCTTGGCTTTGGGTCACCAAGCCATTCGGGGCTATATTCTGTGGGCAGCGTCTGGGTCGTGGCAAATACAAAACCACTCAAAAGGGTCATTTCTACTGGAAGTCTCCTGGCAGGAGAGCTGACTTACCAACAAACTGTTCATGTTATCCTTAATGGTGGGAAGATCTTGTGACACGTTGAGAGACTGCTCCTTCCAAAAATTCATTCTCTGCTGAGCAGAATCCAGCCATTTCATTAATTCCTCTGAGTCTCTATTGTAGCTACAAGGAGGAAACAAAACACATACATCTCCTACCTGAGTCTAGGATACATTTCTCACCCTCCAAGTTGTCTTCCTCTCTGTAAGGAGGCACGTGCTAGTCTGGCACCTATCCTGCTACATAACCCTGCAGGAGCATGACCGCAGCATGGACTGATGTGCAACACAGCAGTTCTGCTGCAGGCATGCACATCAGCTCCTTTCAGCTGGTCTGCTCTCCCTGAAAACATCCTCTTTCTGTATCCACCCAGCAGTTGCTAGGACAAGTTCACAAGGATGGAAAGAGCTTTGCTGGAGGTCAAAACCACCAGAGGAGATTGTGCACACTGCAAGATACAATGCAGAATACGCAGCAGGGGTAAACACCAACAAATACTGCCATGGTCTGCCCACACTATGGGTCCAGCCAGCCTGAGCTCAGAGCACACAGACAAGGTGCAGGGAGAGCTGAGCTTGGTACTTCAGCTGGTGGACTGGGCTGTAGAGCCCCAAACTGTCTCCAGCAAACTGCCAGGACTGCACTGATGGTTGGCTTGGGCCATGTGAAAGCAATGAGCATGCTTGGGTCCTTCCCCTTCATTGAGCTTCAAAACACAAGCTGGGGCAGAATTTCAAACAAGACATGAATGTTTGGAAGGTGGACAGTGTATGTGCACAGACAGGCACGTTAAGCCTTTGCATGGGTATCAAGGCTAGCTTGCGCGTACAGCAGGCCAAAATATTTAGGGCAGCACAATCAGAGCATCTGTTAACGCTTGCAATGTACAAACGGCAGCATGATGCAGCTGCCATCTAGATGCACTGACTTTGCAATGGCAGCAACCAAAATAATTTTCCTACAGAAATAAACAGGAAGTGAAACACTTGTCTACACGGCGAGAGAAAAATCAGATGTGTAATAAAGGGCCACTTTTCTGCTCACCAGTACTTTTTTTTCTTTTTCTCATTTTTAGGTTAAAGCAGCCATATTATTTATTAGTCCACTGTCAGGTTTCAGAAAATACATCCATAGAATGTCAGAAACTAATCTGTAGCTGCTATCTCTAATTGCTTGCTGAGTTATACCCACCTGACCAAGAGTTTGAGTAACGTCTGAAGTCGGTGTAGCTCCGGGCCAACTTTTTTGCTTAAAGACAACCACTGCTCTTCCATCTTCCCAATCTGGCTTCCTATTTCTGGACAGCTCACAGTAGCCAGCAATTTCTTCCCTTCTTTCACCATCTGGTACAGCCTGGCATGCTTTTCATCAACACTGATTTTGATTTGCTATCAGAATATGGGAAGTTTTCAAAACAGTAATAAGTTAAAAACTGAAAACACAGCTAGCAAAACACACATCATGTGTTCTAACTTCTTAATCTCACATTTCCTCTGTCATGTATTTTGTTTTCCAAATGGAAGGAATCTGTACTTCATTACATGCAAAAAGGTCACCGTTTTGTTTGTTTGTTTGTTTCCTCTGAATAGATGAAGGCAGAACTCTAGGAATTAAAATATCAAACTGGACTCAAATATAGACCAAAAGACTCACTAATTCCAAAATTTCTAGTGGAGTGGGTCCTCTGAAGACCGAGAGAGGTCAAACCTGTGAGGAACGCGGAGCACCCTCTGAAGATACATCACTAAGTTTATTGAAGACTCTAGCTTCTTAATTTTATAAACCAACCATAAAGTCTGCTCTCATATCCTTATATTCAAGTATGTTTAAAACATAAAATGTTTCCAACTGGACTTGAGGTTCTAAATAAAGGTGTAGGTCTGCCATCAGAGATGCAGCTGGGAACCAACCAGGAGCCTATTGGCCATTCTATATGACAAATACAGACAAAAGGAATTTTATTCTCTTTGTTATGACAGAAATCAGGATAACTTGGGTTCAGTTCTCAGGATTTTAAAAGGAGCTGGTAAACCTGTAGATCTTCTATTGCAACCAGGCATTAAGATATTTGAAGGCACTGGGTTGATTCTCCTCTTCCATAGGTTTTACGTAACAGCACAAAAATCATCCCTGAATCACAAAGTGGCTCTGTGTTCACTCCAAGTTTCCTTCCTGCCCTTGGGATGCATGGAGCCTGCATGCTATCTTCCCCCACATATTTGCATTTGAAGACCATGTTCCCAAGTAGCTAGAGTTATTACTCCTACCTTAAATTAACTGACAGCCCCTAGCTGAAATTAAGAGCCCGATCTCCTGCTACTTTTAAGAGTAAGTTTTCAGCTCGCATCCATACACAGACAAGGACAAAAAGCTCTACAGATCCATAAAGAAATCAGTCAGAGAGAGACAGACACATAAATACCTGTAGAAGTGCAATCCTTTCCATTAATCTTTCTTCTGTTTCTTCAACCAAATTCACAGAAGGCAGTGTAGAGGCAAGTGTGTCTAACTCCTTACTGAAAACCAGACATTCATCATCAAATTCGGTCCATTCCTAAAAAACATGTGACATCATTAACATAGCACACATCTAGCTGCATTTTTGCTACGCCAGATTGAGGCTTTAAATACTTATTTTAGCAGCAGCAGCTCTTAGTTTAATGAAACAAAACACAATAATAGGTGAATTATATGGAAGTATTCAAGTGAGATATGATTTCACAACAGATGATGTAATTAATTCATTCTCTACAATCTTGAAGGTTTCTTATTTTAAAGTGATATACTTAATTTTTTATTCTCTAGGAGTGGTTTTAAAGTGGTGCTGGTATTTTTATGCCTTAAAATACCAAATTCCAAATACTCAAAAATTACTGCAACTTATAAAGTCCCACCCTTGTCAAAATAATGGGTTGAAATCTCCCCTTTCAGAGGTTTTCAAGGAAAACAGTTTACTGACACACAGAGAACACTGGTTTACTGACACACAGCGAACACCAGAATTACTGGTGCAGAAAGGGTTCCCCTAAACGCAACTCTCCCCACTTCCATGCTGTGTTTCTTTGGACTCATTACCTTTAACAGGCTTTCTAAGTGTGCACCAGACTGGCAGGCCTTCTGCTCCAGCAGATTGACTTCATTCACCAGCTCTCCCCAGAATTTCTCTTTCTTTTGTTGGATGGAGGGAGTCACTTTCTTGAAAAACACTTGCATGAAAGCCATGCGGGTCATGAGGTTGTGGAAAAAGTCCTGAAAAAAACAAGTTAAAGCTTGTTCTTTAAGACAGAACACACACCCACAGC